AATGTTGTGGCTTTTGCTTATGCAGTGCCCAAGATTAGAAGCCGAGACAAATTGGAAATGGGGAGGAGTTACACTAAAGATCTCTCCAATATTACGTGGAGCTTCTTTTAATACTGGAGTGGGAAAGACGTGAGCGCCAGTGGTTTCTATGCTAGCAAAGTGGTGGCTTCTGCCATTTACACATTGTACTGTGTACATATACACATTGCAACGTATACATTGTCCGTGGGAAGGCACTTTCTTAAGTTCCAGGTTCTGAGATGCATGAAATATGTAGGACGGTGCCTGGCAGATACAAAGATGATGCCTGGTGGGACAGTGAAACCTACAAACGAACTGAAAATACAATTTAAAATCAACACACAGATTTTTTTCCAGTGAATATCCAGTGAACAATTGGGTCATAAGTTACGGAGATTTGGGTTATTAGGTTGTGAAGGGAGAATAATGGAGAAAAACAGGGGAGGGAAAATGCAGGCTTAGTCTGCATTCCTGATCAAACAAATTCTTATTTGTCTGCATTTAAGTAAGTTTTTGTGATCATCTCTGAATATTTATAACAGTAAGTCTAGTACTTAATATTATACAGGTCATTGTGAGTTCTCTCACTGAAGAGGTGGGTGGAAAGCAAAGGGCCACTCCCTTGCATAGGAGCACTTTGTTTTTGCCCCCCCCCCGCATACAGAGGGAGTAAACCACCCTCTTCCTCTCCGAGCAGTAATCATGCCATGCTGCACAGAGTGGTGCAGATTTTCCACTCTCGCAAGAGGTAACAAGGGACACCAGGAGAGGAAATGGGGGAAAGCAACTGGAATGGAATCAGTGGCAACCGTGGTCAGGTGGTTGCCTCCTCCTCCTCTCTCTGGGACTGGGAAGGGGTGCTGCTGCTGCTGACAGGTTCTATCCCTGTTGTCTTCTTCCTCCTCCTCCTCCTTTCTATGTCTGTAGTCAAGGGAGGGTGCAGTTGATCTGGATTTATAGAAAAAGGTGGCTCAAGAGAGATGCTCATACAGTGGTACCTCAACTTACAAAATTAATCCATATTGGAATGGTGTTTGTAAGTCGAAATGTTCGTAAGTTGAAGCACCATTTGCCATAGGAATGCATGGGAACAGGAGCAATCCGTTCCAGCATTAAAAAAATAAATACAAAAAAAGAGCAAGTCCCACGGTGGGACTGAAAAAAATATCCAATAACAAAACAACACAGCACAGAAACATAACCCCCCGTCTAAAACCCACCCAGAACAGTTTTTTTAAAAAGGAAAAAGCAGCACCTTACCTGTCTGAAGCCTCCTCAGCCTCCCAGGCTTCCACTGCTGCTGTGACCGCCGGCGGAGGGAGGCTTGAGTCTGGCGCGGCTGTTCGCCTCCCAGCTCGCCTTCCACTTGCTCTGCGCCACCCTCCGTGGGCCGATGGCAGGAAATTCAAGTGGCAGAGGGCGGCAAGGAGCAAGCAGGAGGCGAGCCAGGAGGCAAACAGCGGAAGAAACTCGGCCAGCTGAAGCCTCCAGGCGCTGGGCTGCCGCCTCCGCCGCCAGAGCATCCAGGAGGTTCAAGCCTCCCGGCTCTGGGTCACCCTCGCCGCCCACTGCCCCTGCCAGATCACCCAGGAGGCTCAAGCCCCCACCGCATCCCTTTCCCTAACCGTTGGGGCAAAAGAGCTACAAAGAAGCAGCCTCTTCGCCAACAACAAATTTTCCACCCTTTCCCCCTGCCTTTTTGTGCTTGTAAGTGGAAGCTCCGTTCGCAAGTCGATGCAAAATTTTGCGAGCTGAGCTGTTTGTAAGTCGAAATGTTCGTAGGTAGGGGTGTTCATAAGTCGAGGTACCACTGTAGTGCCAACTCTCCAGAGCAGCATAGCCTTCCTGAGGCTTCAATAGGGAGCAAGGTATTTGCTTACCGCTGTGCACTGTCATCTGAGATTACTATTTTACTGAGCCTACCTCTGCTATTATAGCATTCATTTATTACTATACTAGCCAGAATCCTATTAAAATGTCCGTGTTGTCAAGTTGATTCTGACTTAAGGCAAACATAGTACTGTTTCCAAGGTATGTGAAATATTTAAGCAGTTGTTTTACTAGCCACCCCCCCCCAATGTTTTTCCATGGCCCAGTGGGGATTTGAACCCAGGGTTCCTCAGTTCTAGTACAACATTTTATCCACAACACTACACTTGTAGTTTATGTCATCATAGGTTTAATGATGTAAATTGGCAGTGAATTGCTGTTAATTAATGAGTTGCTACTTGTATTTCTAATCACTTGTCAGTTGCATGGCTTGGGGCATGACTAAGAATGTAAGCAGCAACTTGTTAGTAAGCAATTCACTGTCACAATTTACGCTGCATGTAAATCTACATTAGGATTCTGATGACTATATGCTATTAAAAATGAGCTACCCCTTTCCCTTTCTCTCTCTCTCTGTATGTGTGTGTGTGTGTGTATGTGTGTGTGTACACACACACACACACACACACACACACACACACACACACAAACAAAAAAACCAGCATATTTAGAAAAATTGCCAAGGTGTTGTACGAAACAGGTACCAGTAGTCTTGAGTATTTTCTTGTTCTCAGCATTCGGTCATTTGGTGATGTAACAATATTGTAACACTTGAATTGATTACGGTCTCTGAGTAAACTTGCAAAATTTTTAGTGAGCAGCTTTCCCGTAGCCATTCATTTCTAAATTTACATGATGTAATTCCATGTTTGCTCAGCCATATGCAGTAGATGTTTTTGAAGGGAAGATGGCACAGGTTCAGATAGTAGGTAACTTGCAGGGGGGCAAATTTTGCATATTTTCGCTCTTGTGGAAAGCTAAGGTGGTTTGAGCACATGGATTCTTAGGCATGATCTGGGGGGCTTGGGATTAGATCCTTTCTCGGTGAGGTAGTTTTGAATGTTTGTCTGGTATATGAAGCTGGTTTTTGATGTATATAGAAACTCAAAAGAGATTTTATATATTTGGTCTAAATTCATAGAAAGGTACAGCTGAGATGCATTTATTGTAAATTGTCAGAATTCAAGAAATGTAGCAGGTGCATCTGCTGGACTAGGTAAATAGCCTCTGTAGTTAGAGCATGGTTTGCTAGAAATTCTGGAATTGCTTTAGTGGAGATGTTTTGATGCTGTTGTTGTTCACCTCAGAACCTGTATTTGCAATTGATCCCAGTATTCTTGTATACCTCTGTATATTTATATATTTTGATGTTTTATTTGTGGCTGGTCTTTGACCGTAACAAGTTTTATCCTATCCTAGGTAAATAAAAGTCTTGTGGGGGGGCCTGATAGCTGACACATTACAGCAGCATGAACATATGCATTTATTCATCAGGGTTCTGATAGGATAACATGTCTAGGAGGCCTTCTGCTGCTTCTGTGATTGCCTTTTTTATGATGACCTCCAAGCCATCATTTAGCGCTTAATGTCAAGCGAAGTAAGCAAATCCAGATTGTCTTTTTCAGTATATGCCAACATATCCTAATTTAACCCTTTAACAGAATAAAGTTAATTCATCTGTTTGTGCAGCTATATGGACTATTTTCTTTAACTTATTTCAAGAGAAAAACAGCTATCTGTGTCTCAGTTCTCCGCCCTCCCCCCAATTTATGAATTTTACTAATTTTGCAAATCAGCATATAGATTCATCATATACTGTAGTTCCAAATAAAGGTTTAAAAGTTAGTCCCAGCTAAAGCAAACCCAAGGAACCAGTGCTACGTTGGTAACTCGTTGCATACGTCCCATTTATTTGGTTAGGTGTACTCTAGTTGGGACTAACAATTGGATTTAGACTTAACTGTGATTTTAATAGGTCTACTTCAAGTAGGCCTAACTCTGGCTCCTACCCTAAGTTTTAAAGTGTGTCCCGTTCCTTGCCCCCGCCCCACGGAGATGTCGGTGGGGCAGGAATTAACGTGAGAGTTCACATAAGTAGTTTAAACTTAATTTTGACCTTCACCGTTTCCAGTCTTCCCAGGCAACCGGTTGGACATTCCCATATTGTCTGTTTTAATTCTGCATTCTGCAATTTATTCCGAGTACATACAGTTGCCTAGCCAGTCTCCGTTGATAATCGCGCCTCGCCCTCTTTTAAGCCTTCCGTCCATTCATCTCGTCGTCTGCTCGAGTGCAGGCGCCTTTTAAACTTGCTCTTCTTTTTTTTTCTGCTAGCTTGCTTGCGCGCTGAGACGTGTGTGTGTGTGTATGCGTGCGTGCGTGTTTTAGGCTGCATTATGTGTAAGCTTTGCCCGCAGTGCGCTCGGGAAGCCGTCGGTGGCGCTACCGCCTCCCTTTCCCTCTTTCTCTCATCTATTTTTTTTTAAATATTCTTCTCTCCCCCCTTTTTTTGCTTTCCCTTCCCTTCCCCCTTTTGCCTTGCCTTGCTTTGCCTGGCCGGTGCATTCTCCGATTAAAGGGAGGAGGAGGAGGAGAAGGGAGGGAGGAGAGAGAGAGAGAGAGGGAGGGAGGGAGAGGGAGGGGAAGAGAGAGGAGGGCAGAGAAGGAGCTCGGCCGCCATTTTTCCCCCGAACAGAATTTAGCAGCAGAAAAACAGCAGCAGCGCCACCTCCGCGCCTGGTTGTTGCTGCGGCGGCTGCTTCGCTGCCCCGGTCCTACCCGGGTGGAGGGTAGGGGGGGGCACGAAAGCCGAAGGGGGGCCACACCGAGACGGTGGCGGCGGCGGCGGCGGCGGCGGAGGGGGAGGGAAGGAAAGAAAACGCCGCAGAGGTTGTTGCACAGTGTGTCCCACTTTGAAGAAGAGCGAGAAGAGAGACCCTCCTTTGCAGTAGGAGGAGGAGGAGGAGAAGGAGGAGGAGGCACCGCAACAGCCGCCACCGCCGCCGCCGCCGCTGGGGGGAGAAAGGCAGAAGCAGCAGCCTTTTTATTTTTTCCGCCGCCGCCGCCGCCTCTTCTTCTTCTTCTTCTCTCCCCCCCCCTTTCCAGGGTGTGTGGTGTGTGGGGGTGGTTGCAAAAAAGAGAAGGCAACCGTTTTCTTCCCCCCTCCCCAAATCCCTTCCTTCCTTAGCCCTTTTCCTGCCCGCCCGCCCGCCTCGCCTGCAGAAGAGCAGGGAGCAGGCGGGCAGGGAAAGGGGAGCCGGGGCTGGAAGGAAGGGGGGGAAAAAGGGGGAGCGAGAAAGAAAGAAAGAAAGAAAGAAAAGCTGAGCCGCGGCGAGAGAAGGACGACTCCGGCGGGAAAGGAGGACTAGCAGCGGCAGAAGCGGCCGAGGAAGAGGATTCGGCTTGTGGGTGGCTTTCTTTCGCCTTGTTTGCAAACTGCGCCCTTTTAACATTTTTCAATTTTTTAAAAAAATTTTTTTCCACCGGGCCGGATCCGCCCGGACTCTGCTCTCGGCTCCATCACGTGGTAGGTGCCGCCGCCGCCGCCGCCTGCTTGCTTTTTTGCTTCTGTGCCTGCCCTGCGCTCTCGCTGGCTTAGCCTGGCTTTCCCCGTTGCCCTTGCTCGGCCCTTCTTGCCTTGCCTTTGTTAGCATGGCTGGCTGGTCGCACCCCCGTAGAAGCCCTCGGCGAGCAGAAAACAACTTCTTTGACCCCTCTCTCTCTCCCTCTCACCCCCCCACCCTTGCCCTGGATTTCCTCCCCCGTTGTCTTTTAATTTCTGGACTGAAGCTATGCCAAGCATTTAATTTTGGAGGGATCGTGTTTCCTTTAAAGAAGCATAATTCAGTAATAATAATGTACAGCTTCTTTTTAAAAAAACTTCCCTGTCCGGTTTCTTTTTCTCCCGCTCTCAGTGCCAGGCACGGCTAGGTTCTCAATCGTCCATGATGAATATTATTAAGCCCCCCCCCGCGATACTTTTTTCGCTGTTGTTGCGTGTTAATGCGATTGCAACTGTCCGCGGTGTTTGCAGTGTCCTACAGCCAAAATGCAGTCGTCGTCGCCGTCCCCCCCCCGCGCGGTTTAAGAAGCCATGCAATTGGAGTAATCCTGCTTTACCAGGTTGCAAAAGAGCTTTCAGCCCTTAGAATCGATCACAGTTAAGTGTGGGATGGGGGAGGAGGGGAAGTGCGGGGGGGGAGCGAGTGTTCTCGAGCCGGTCTCCTGTGAGGGGGGAGGCAGAGGGGGGGGAGTGGGTCGACTTTGTTTAACGCTGGGGAACAGACGCGACCACTCCCGCGGTGCTCGCTTTACAGTCGTGTAACTAATTTCGCACGTTCGAAGCGGCGTGTTCGACGTATAAAAAACAGTTCCGTCTCCCCCCTTAATTTTTTTTAAAAAAAACTGGCTTAAAAAAAAAACACCCCCACCGATCCTGACGCTTTGAGCCTGGTGTTTTTGATGTGCGTGTGCGCGTTTAGGCGAAGTATTGCGGCTCCATTGCAAGCTCAGGAGGAGGGAAAAGAAGAGAAGAAGCTGGTTTCTGGTGGCGCCACTTTAAATTGAAGGCTTCCCTCTCACTGAGAGCACAGGCGGCTTTACAAGAGGACTATCTTCTTCTTTGTGTTAGTACGTCTCCCCTCCCCCCATCCTATTCATAAAACATGCACGCCTTTCCAGTTTACCACTTCGCCCTAGCATTCCAACGCCGGCGCGCCTTGAAGTTCCATCATAGAATCCGAACCCATTCCCAATTTCCATTCTCGAACACTTTCCCTGAGTGTGTATGTGCATGTGCGTCTGTGTTGGAGACCTGGCCATCACGTGTCCGCTTGGCAGTCATCCTTTTTTTTTTGGTTCACATTGTATTGACTGCTGCTGGTGGTGTGTGAATATCGTGGTTACTACAGTCAACAACAACAAAAATTACATCCTCTCCTTTCTATTTTTCAGACAAATTGGGTCACTCTGTGTGTGTGTGTGTGTGGTGTGTTTCTCTACATCTAGGTCTAAAATCATAATGGGGGAGGGGCAGGGAGTTGGAATAGTTCACCTAAACAAACTCTTCAATAAGGCATTGAGGAAAAAGAACACATATTGCATAATGCTTGTTTTGCATAATCTTTATGGCATGTGGGATTTCCCTTTTTTAATAATAGGGCCTCAAGTTAGTGGATTGGGGTGTAGAGTTGGATCACACAGAGTAGTATGTTAGTTACGTTAAGAAACCTGGTTTCTGTCACCATCTCGCTGACCAGTGTACTTCGTTGTTTATTTGTGAACCCTTTGTGCATTGGAACCTATTTTCCACCCACCCCTCACCCCTGTTTTGTTTGATCTTTACAGTAGCTGTCTCACTAACATGGATTTGTCTCAGTAAGCCGTTTTAATGTCTTCTGTCTGTCCTCTGTTATCAGTGATTTAGAATTGGCGGGAATGTTTTTTTCCTAAAGCATAAATGGTAAATAACTTGATTTCATTTCAAGTTTCTCTTTTTAAACTGTTACTAAAGGGAATTTTGTAGTCTTCCTCTTGGCTGGTTGTAGGCATGTTTGTTGTACTGCTTGGTCAGTTTAAAAGGAAATAGATCCTTTTAAAAAAGTTACCTTTTTTGCAGAGTGGAATATGTACTTTAATATGTTTAGGTATGTTTTTTGTTTGAAAAATTAGTTAATTCAGTGCTACATATTTTTATTTGCTGTCATTTGATAACAATTGGCAAGAAAATTTGTGTGAGTAGATTGTTTGGGCCTTTTCCTCTTGCGTTGCGTCATGTCATGTGATGCTTACTCGGTGTCTGATACATAATTCTAAAAATAAGAGTTGGGTAAAATCTCTCTGTTGAAGTTAAGTTGTGTTGTGAAAGTGGGAGAGAGTACTTTATTTTTATGACACCCACCTTGACATTCCAGAATCCATAGCCAGTCCTTGTAGTTTACTGATACATCTTCCTGTAAGTATGTTTAAAAAAGCATAGGCTATTTTTAAAGAAATCCTTAGTTTGGAAAAACTAACAAATTAGATAGCAAGGCTGTAATCCCACAGTACTAGAAAGTGACATTTATCAGTATGACTGATTTCTTAATAAACATACGTGGGTTTGAATTGCACATCAAGTTCTAGTCAATGTGTATTTTGCAGGCAGTTTGTGAATGGTGGGTCTGGCTCCTAGGAGAAATATATTTACTAAAATTGTGTCTTGGCACTAGTGTAAGAAGAGTGACTAAGATTGCCGTCCTGTAGTTTGTCTAGAAGGAAATCCCATTGAACTTGATGAGACTGGTTTCTGAGCAGATGTGTAGGTTTGTATTACGATGACATTTATGGGTAGAGCTTGCTTTACCAAGTGCGTAACATGAGATCTGATTCACCTAATAGCTTGATGTAATTATAAAAAATGGCTAGAACACTCATTTTTGCTTCAGCAGATTCCCATTTGAAATTTGTTAGCAGCTTGACATTGTCTTAGATGTAAGGTTTTGAAACTCATTATTTAATAAGAGTTAAAAAGGCTTAAGTTGACAAATGTAGGTGATGGTGGTAGAACAATGAGGGGGAAAACCTGGGCAAAACCTTTTCAGCTGTTTTGGTGGTCTGGTCTGTATATTTTTCAGAAAGGTTGAAACAGCATGCTTCTTCATTTCTCGTCTTGTTAGAAGAGGAAGTTGGTATATGGTTTTTTTTAAAGGCATGTCATTTATTAGTCTGGTTAAGTTTGCCAGTTGAACCTATTGTTTTCGGAACAGCACTGTTTGTAATTTTTCCCATTAAAAGAGCTGTAGCTTCTTTGGAGTCTGGACTTCTTTTTAAGGTGTAGAGAATATTCCCTGTCCCCAGTCATGTGCCATCTAGAGATGATGATGAGAGGATTTGTAGTCCAGTGTGCTCACTCAGAGTACTGAAATTAACGCAGACTGGAATAACAGAGGTAATTTGTTCCTTATCAGAGTTCCAAAGTTCCTTTCCTTCCTTTGCCATTCTAGCTGCATTGAAAATCTGTTTGATTTTATCTGGTAGAATTCACATGTTTAAAAATAAATTTTAAAATGCGTGTATTGGTTGGCAAATTACTGCCATTTTGTTTTCTTCCTTGTCGGTGACAAAACCCGTAGACAAAAAACAATATTGTAGATGTAACTGTATTTATATACCATCAAATTGTAATAGACTTGTAGCGATTCTAATAGGACTTTCAAGATAGGTGGGATATATAAGTGGTTTTACCAGTTCCACACCCTCATTGAGCTTCCATGGCTGAATGAGGAATCAAATTCAAGCCTTTTGTGTCCAAGTCCATCACTCTGTCCACACTGGGTATCATGTAGATCAGTGGTCCCCAACTGTTTTGGCACCAGGGACCAGTTTAGTTGAAGACCATTCTCCCAAGGACTGGGGGGGGCGCTACTTGTTATGCAGTAGGTTGTTGGAGGATAGCTTTGAATCGAGCTCATAAAGGAAATGGCAAGCAAGAGCAGGAGGTGAGCTGTAATTGAAGCTTCACCTCCTGTTAGATCAGCAGCGGCTTAGAACCTAATAGGAGCACAGACTCCTATTAGATTCTAATGCCACAGTCACAGCTGATCTAGCAGCAGCGAGAGGGGAGAGAAGCTCCGCCTCCTATTATCTAGCAGCAGCAGGAGGGGAGAGGGGAGAGAAGCTCCGCCTCCTATCGGATAAGCTGCAGCTTTAGCACCTAATGCTGATAGGAGGCGGAGCTTCGCTTGCTGCTCACCTCCTGTTCACCACTCATCTGTCCTGGCGGCCCATTCCTTGGCCGTACCAGTCTGTGGCCTGGAGGATGGGGACCTGTGATGTAGATGTAATAGCAACTACAAATCGTGACTTATAGCAATGTTATTTATCCCTTTCAGAAGGGCCTTGTACTGTTTGGCTTGTTGTAACAATTATGGAGAGAAACATCTTTTCCTCTTTATTAAATGTGTTAAGAGCTTTTCATTCATATTTTGCAGAAGGGATAAACAACTGGTGGTCCAGAACTTGTTACTGCCCCTGGGGGCTTTCCATGTCACCTCCAGCACAGCTCCTTGTTGCAGTGACCTTCCTTGATATCTGGAATATTTGGTTACTTTCTCCCCAACTGAGATAAGAACAAAGGGCTCTTCTTTAACTCCATCCTCTCCATTGTGAACAGAAACTAAAGCTTCGATGGAGTCTTTTTCTCAGTACATACCACAGTTGTTGATTTCTTTCATGGGAAGGCACAGGTTCATGAGACTGAGCAACCACAGTGTTCCTCTTTATCAAAGCCTTCCCAGTATGGACAACAGGAGAGGAAGTGGTGTGTGTGTGTGTGTTTTCCTCTGGACTTTACTGAGTGTAATATAGTAGGAGTGAGTCAACAAGGAAAGACCACCTAATTGTGCAGTGGATCACAACCAGTGGTAAATGTACCACCAGTGGGATGCAGAAGTTCCAAACTAAGAGGAACACACAGTTCCTGTGACATGAAATCTTGGATTTTTTTGTGTTTTAGCCACAACAATACGATTTATTCTCAATAGTACT